TGTAACACATCAAAATACACAAGACAATAAGTCTTTATTGTCTCAATATCTCCTCCCCCCCCCCCCAAACCAAAGAATATAGTTCAACATGGGCAGAACTGAATCTATAACTAAGATTAAACTGCCCCATGTTTTTGGGAATAACTTGGCATTCAATATGGAAATCTAAATTTCAAATGCAGAAATTGCAAGATTGTAAAGCATAAAAAGTTAGGTGTACTACCTCTGCAGAATGTTCCTCATCCCAATTTTCAACTAAACTCTCCAAGACATATGGAGCATCGTGCATGTCCTGAGAATATTCCCCCAGCATCCAAATAAGAGCTGCCTTAGCCTTGGGTTCCTGGACATTTTTGCTACTGATATTGCCAACAACAGCAATACAATCCTGACTCCATTGTGGATATTTTCTTAACAGATCTTTCACAAGCACCTGCACAGATGAACTTCAAACTTTGCATTAGTCTACCCTACCATAAGTCAAATCAAAATGTCATACTTTGCACGCATGCAACATGTTTGCATAGTTTATGAAAGAATGTGATACTACACTTAGGAACAAATTCTACTGTATCTAATAGTCATTTGTCATGTTTACCAGAGCTTCAGAAGTAACATAGTCCTTTTCCATCTCAAGAAACTGGAGAAGTCGATCAACAATAGCATTGACATCATACTGCTGCAATGCTATCTTCCCAACAGCCCGAATTGATTCCCTTGCAATGGGAATGTCAACATTTGCAGCATATTCACATAATTCTGTCACTGAAATGAGATCCAAGAAGTTATTGAATAAGTCATAAAAATGTGGGCCTCAGAGCAAAAATGCAATCATCCTACATAAATCACTCCCTCTCCTAACCTTTTCTCTCTATAGCAAATAAGAGTTACTTACCTATCTCATAGGTGTTACTTTCATTTGCAACTGCAGTCAGCATTTCAAGCTTCAACTTTTTGACATATGATGGCTCATTATACTGGCAATAGAAGTGTTTGTAGTCTGCAGAAAATATATAAGGTGCACGCATGACCAAAAGATGCAGGTGACTTAAAACTGCATAGGATTGTTCTGGACTTCCTGAGCTCACTTGAGTTAAAAGAGGGGCTTTGATACGCTCATATACCTAAACAACAAGAATTTGCTACAAAATCACTGGGAAGCAACCAAAGCTGACAGGATAAAGTCAAAATAACTTCAAGATCAAGAAAAAAGTTTAGAAAATAAAAACAATAGTTTAAATAAATATGCAATCAAGCCATGCTGAGATTGACCAAGCCATATACAAATACAGTCAAAACCTAAGCTTGAGGTTAAGCTCAATGAATTGAGATCAAATCCCAGCACAAACCCCAGCTTGTTTAATAAACAGCTCAAGCCCAAGTAGTTCACAGACAATAATATAAATAATACATTGTACACATACATCCTAATTATAATAACTACTGATTTATTTAAATTATATGCCACCTACAAATTCTCCAAGTTTACCATCACAACACTCAACCCATTGCATCCTCAAGCATCCCTAAGTTTGAGATCAAAACATTGGCCCAATTATAGGTGTCCATATATGAATACCATAAGCCTAATCTTGCAGCATGAAAAACCTAAATGCCAAATATATGTCCTCTGTGAATGATTTGGTAAGATAGTAATTAAAAGTCAAGTCATTACTAGATATAAAGCAAGTACAATTCAGATCAGAGAATTTTATGTGAGGAAAAAATAACTATGTATAAAAATATGTTGTAATGAAAAACAAGGAGATTAATGAGATGTTTTCACACAGAGAGAGACTCAAATCAATACATACCTGCTGATGAACATCAGCCATAGATAAAGTCAACTGTAGAAATACTTTAATAGTTGCCAAGACAACAGCACCATTTGCATGCTGGAGTCTATCTTCAAGGAGGTTCATAACATCAAATATTTCACTGTTGTCTGATGGAATGTACTTGGCCACCAATTCCAGCACAAGACATTGTGCCCATTCACTAAATTCCTTAATGCTGCAGGTAAAAAAAAATAAGAAATATGTTTTCTTAAAATTGGTATTTTTGCAAGATATTACAGATACTTTCTTTTTATCTCCAATGGCTGCTACAATTATCAACAGTCTAATAGGACCTCAGTTAGCACTTATAGTAAGGTAACAATAAAACATTCTTGTTCACATTAGTGAAGATACTACTCAGTCAACCATTTACTCCCACAATCATACTATATATCATTGATTTATAGTGTACACAAGGACAAAGAAGCTAATATAGTGGCAGATTATAGGGGAACTATAAGTCTATGAGCCTCTTTGGCAACGAGAAATGGAAAGACACAAAATTCCTTAGAAAAGAAATCCCAAAAGGGGGTGGCTGAGAATATTCAGTTTATCTAGTGTGTTCAGAAGAATGCTAGTATGGCCTTAAAAATTGTTAATTAAAGAATGTAATGGTGTTGTCCTATAGGGAAATATAACTTAAGCACTACAGCTTTCCCAATTAGTGTTCATCAAAGTATCAGAGAGCAAGGAATTACTTGAGAAAAAATTACCGATTCAAAAGGTAATATACAACTGGCTTGCTAAGTAGAGTTTCTCTCTCCCTGGCAGCTTCCTCTGATGTGGATGACTCTAAGGTCCAAATTTCTTGTAAAGCAGACAAACAATTTGCGACTACCTGACAAAAAAACCATGACCATATATATGTAAAGAACAATTTATCTGGTGACTGCTGTTGTTTTAATTTTTTGAAACATGAAGACTATTGTTGTTCTGATATATAGGTGAACAATTGAAAAGCAATAAGAACAAAAAATTGATACATACATACATACATACATACATACATACATACATA